CATTTCATCCATCTAGGAAAACGCCACCCTGGTAGGTGGAAATGCCTCATTTATGTCTCATTCTGGGTGGTTCCAAGAAAAAAAAATTGGGAACCACGGATTCAGGCAGGGGCTGAGAAGAGTGGTTGATTTTCAAAAACAGGTAAGGGAGTACATGTTGTATTTACTTGGGGAAAAAAATGGATGGATTTGGATAATCAGATGGCATTCTGGGGAGTCAATTTATTTTATTTTTATTAACACATTTTTTTTATGTTTATTTATTTTTGAGAGAGAGACAGAGCATGAGTAGGGAAGGGGTGTAGAGAGAGGGAGACACAGAATCCAAAGCAGGCTCCAGGTTCTGAGCTGTCAACACAGAGCCCGACGTGGGACTTGAACCCTCGAACTGAGAGATCATGACCTGAGCTGAAGTCGGATGCTTAACCAACTGAGCCACCCAAGCGCCTCAGGGAGTCAATTTAAATGAATTACTTTCTTTTGGTTTCCTGTTAACACCAAGATTACTTTTTGAGGAGAAATTGAGTGTTTTCATAGATGGCAGTCTCCAAGCATTATAGCTATGGCATTTAATTTCTGGAAAATTTCCCCGCTTTGATTTTCCAAATTGCAACATTTTTTTTTCCTTTCAAATGTCTCCCACTACCTTCTGCTGGAATTTAGTCAAGGGAAGAATAAATATACACAAAAATGACGTCTGTGCTGCTTATGGAGAAGTTATGAGTTCACGGTCACAGGGTAGGAAGGGCAACCTGGGGGATCTGGGACACTCTCCCTTTGGTGGGAGAGTTTACCATAATTCACCAGCGCTGCAGGGTCCCATGGAGGGAACAAAAGGTTACTTTCAAGCTCCACCAAATATTTGTAGTAAGTAGTTTCTTTTCTTTTTTTTTTTTTTATGCACAGAAACATACTTCCATCTTTCTGTCTCTTCTTTTATCTAGTCTTTTTCTGAATTTTATTCTCTTGAACTGCTCCCCAAGAATCTCTGATGTGATTCTGTGAAAGTTATATGTAGGGCTATCGAATCTTGGTATATTTTTTTAAAATATTTTGTTTGCATTTCAGATGGTCACTTTGCAGGGTCTCAATCTTTTATCATTGGAATAAAGCATCATCAGGAGCAGTTGATGGGCGACTCTTAGATCTTCAGGTTCCTTTAGTTAACGGTAGGCAGATGTTAGAATGAAATTGAAGATGCAATTATTTTTATTAAGTTAAAACAAATCACCCCAGGTTGTCTGGTCCAAGGGCTGTGTGCTTCACTCCACTGAAGTGAACTCCCTTCTGAGTGTTGAGTCAGGGAACTTTCTGTTCCTGTAATTTATGGCGTATTTTACTGTTGGAACCATGCTCTTGTGAGATCAAGCATTTGTCATAAATCACATGAAAAAATAAATTGAGAAACTTCTCTACTGTATGATAGAAATCCTTTATTTTTTAGTGGTTGTCTGTATTATATTTCTTCAATGTAAAGGGTTATATTTAAAGAAAAAATTGAAGACCACTATCCTTATACCTCGAGCTCTGAGCTTTTTACTTTTGGACTCTTGGGCATTTTATGATCCGCTATCCTCAGAATCCCAGCTTTTATATCCAGGACTCAGACTAGTGCACCTCCTGTCGATTCACCCAACTTGTTAACTTTACTATATGCTCCAAGGTGTTTCAAATTGTTTCAGAGCTGATGCCAAGAAGAAAGAGTAGTAGTCCTGCATTTATTTCTACCATTTCCTGATATTTCTGACCAGGTTCACCATTGGTTCCCTTGATCTTTCTGGGACTAGACTAGACCACTGGCACTTGCCCGGGGAGTGCCTGCAGTGACTTGGGGAGATTCTGGACGGTTCGGATGTCACTCTTTTCCAGCTGTGCTCATGTGTTCTCTCCATATGCACATACATGAGGGAGGCATGTGTATGTACGTCGAGGACAGTCCGGATCTCTGGGATGTTGGTTGTAACTGATACAAATTGGATTTGCAAGGCATCCCCTCCACACACAAGGGCCTGGCTGTTTCTTCCCAATGGCTAGGACTCCAATTCTACAGTGAAGAAGATGGTCATGGTGGTTAGACCAGCAGAGGACAAGATGATCCCGTAGCGAAAATGAAGTTTGCTCTAGGGACCAACAGGTGTGGTGTGAGAATGTTCCTGAGGTGCATCTGTGCTCATGAGAGGGACTGTGGCAAGGGATCAACGACATTTACTTTGGGCAAGGAGTGGAGGAATGGCGCCATCATTTGCCATTTCTTGGCTATGTCCTTCTCCTGGAATAAAACTGCATTGCCTCAAATCTAGGGCCGCAATTGTATGTAACTGGTAGAGTCTATCACCGAAACACTCTCCTCTGACATCCAAGGTGAGGATGAGAGCTACTTTGTATTAAATGTTAATGATTTATAATTAATTCATCACCTTCGTGGCAATTTACAACTTGGCTTTGCTGACAGGAATAGTTGTTAGCAGATTGTATGAAAAGAGGCCAATCTCCTTTCTCCCCCTAGAGATAATTTTAGCATAGTTTTGAACAGATAGAAATAGGTCTTAAAAAGCCAATAAAATGTAGAGGCTCTTGGCTTATCTGGGGACCTAGGTAGAAGCTGGAGGATCCAATGGCACCTTGTAGATGTTACGTAAAATAAATAAACTAGCTGAGAGATCTCGGGAGTGGGGAGAAGGGAAGGAAGTTCTCAGTGATATATTTGGCAGGGACTGTACCAGTGCCTGTGATTAAGCTGAGGAAGAAGGGGGGGTTGGGAAACTTGTCCCCACTTCCGCCCGGCAGTGATTTAGATTTGGAGGCAGAACCAAAGGGCATGAGACCAGAGTCTCTGTCTCTGGGAAGTGAGTTCACACCTGGCTTGGTTTTTCCTGGCGTTTGCCCCTCAGTGGACGAGGTCTCCTTGCCAGACACGCTCATAGATCCCCTTGCTACTCTCTCATGGCACTTACTGTGGATCTTAGGTACATATCTGTGCGAGTCTTTGATGAATGTCCATTTTCCTCACTAGATCATGAACTCCATGAAGGAAAGGCTCATGTTATCTGTCATGTCGACCAGCCCAGCTTCCAGGTACGGTGCCTGACAAATAGTAGGTGGTCCATAAATATACATATCAACAGATTTTTAAAAATCTTTATTGAACAAGCAAATGGATTTTCCAAGCATGGCCTTTGAGTGCCACCAAGAATGGGATGTACCCGTGGTTGGATCAGAAGCCAAATGGCCGAGGTCTCTGGAGAGAGACTTTTACTTTGTTGCAGATGAATGATGAAGAGTTTATCAGTGCTTTCTTCTTCCTTTTTCCTTTGAATTTTATTTCCTTGCCAGATGCTTTGCATTGTACGGTTTTCCAACAACTCCTAAGGCCATCTACTCAGCCTTGCACCCACTGGGAGTATTCGTCTTCCCCTCCCACCACCTTTCTTTTGTTAGCGCATCCTCCAACTGCACATCTGGATCTTAGCCTTGCCCAACTTGTGCTTCTTCACTCCCCCAGCTGCTTGTTTCAAAATGTTTCAAATAGAGTGGATTCAGACTTTAAAATGGTACAACAAAGATACAGAGGGATTAAGGTATCTCCGTTGCTTTGCCTGATTTCATCCCTGTAGCATTCCACACTGCGACCACTGCCTACTTTTTGAACACTCTTGGATGCTAGATTGTTACGCTCGGATTCCTCTCCTGCTTCTGAAAAAGCCACCTTTTCTACCTCTCCCTCCATCTTCCCTACCTTAAAAGCTGATGTCTCCCAAAGTGACTCCTTTGCTTTGTCTTTCTTTCTTCTCTTGCCCCTCATGCTCTCCTGATCTTCCTTCTCTTGTCATGGTTTCTCTGGATGTTGGATTTGTTTTCAGCTACAATGTATGCACTCGTGACTCTCAGATGCTGTCCCGGGCGCTACTATAATCCAGACCCTTATTTCAGCTACCAGTACGTGCTTTCATAAATTCTTCTTTGTGTTTTGCTGTCGCCTCCTAAGTGGCTTGTTTGCAATAGACATTTCATCACTACGGCTCAACCTCCATCTGCTACCAGAATTGTCTTCTTGAAAAATAAAGCTGAGCATATCATTCCTCTCTTTAAACACCTTGGACAGATTCCCGGGGCTGCAGGGTAAATGATCATCACCATCCTCGTGACTATGTAAGTGCTCATGGTGGGCCAGGCACTAACCACTATGTTGATTCATTTAGTCCTCACAAAATGCTCTGTGAGATAGGGACCGGTTATGCCCATTTTACAGATGAGGAAACGGGGGCACAACGACGGTGCGTGATGTGTTCAAGATCACACAGAGACAAAGACCATCCTTTTCAGCTTGATCATGGAGCCCTTTCCATGACTGCCCTCAGCCTGCCCCTGCGCTCCAATCACATGAGCCTTTCTTCTGTCTCCCAACCTCTATCCTCCTTCATCTTTCCCTGACTTTGGGCCTGCTGCTCCCATGGCCTGGAATGTTGTGATCCCATTATTTACCTGGTTAACTCCTACTCCGTCTTTGTCCATCGATAGTCAGTCCCCAAACCATTTTCTCTGTGAGAACTCAAAACTCTTTGGACAAAGCTGTGTGTCACTCCCACTTCTGTGTGTTGTACACACCTGTCCTGTTACAGGACGTTCTCTGCTTTAGTGCACGATGGAGTGATTTTTTTTTTTTTTTCATTTACCGTTAGGACATAAATGGTCTTGGCTCCTTCTTGACCCCTTTTAAAAACTGTCTGAAAATTACGTATCACAAAATGTCGAAGCAAGAACACATCCCTATTGAATTTTAGGCCACTGTCTCTGTTTATAATTTAACAGATTTGTATTTTCAGATTAGAGAGCTACTTAGTCCTTACCCATATTCACTAAGGATGAAAAAAGAGTGCCTTGCCTTTTAAAATCATTGAGATGGTAGGATCAGGGATTCCATATTTTGTGATTTAAAAATGACTCTTCCATTGACTGAGACCAAACAGAGGATGAGTGGGAAGGAGATGTGGAGCGGTTACCTGCTGGCCGGGCTTGATGGGTGAGAGCGTGATGCCCTGGGTGTTGATCACTGGCAGGATCTGGTTCCCGATGACCGTGGCAATGATCTGGCCCTGGGCGTTGGTCAGGAGCTGGGGGGTGATGGGCTGCACTTGCAGGCCTTGAGTGCCACTCGCTGCTTGGCTAGATGGCCCCGGATTCGGCATCAGAGGTATGGTCCCAATAATCTGCAAGAGACAGGCCCAAAGGTGAGGCGCTGGGCTCTGTCCTGAGTCTGTGCATGCAACTGAAGATGATTCACGCCCTGCTTTCTGCAGGTGGCTCCCAAGAGCGAATTCAGAGACTGTGAACACATCTGGAGATGTGGGTAGGGAAGCCAGCGCAGGGCATGAGCGTCTGCGGGAGGGATGAGCACACGAGTCAAGTGCATGGGAAGGAAGGGGGAAGCATCTTATTAAAAGTAAAATCAAGCCGCAGTGAGGGCATAAACCTGGGATTTCTGCCAGGGACAGCAAGATGTCTACTTTGTCTTAGAACCAGAGAGAAGATGGACATCTCATGGCAACAAAGGCCCTCGTCTGACTGGGGAGCCACATTCCCTAACCCACAGGAGCACCTCAAACACACACCCTTTCCTCTGCCTCACTCTCCCCTATTCTACCAACACCCTGCTCCTTGCTCAAAGTCCCTGACATCCCAACCGGAACTGGGGCGTCGGCATCTTGGTGCTCATGGTGGTCAAGAGCCCAGGTTCTGGGGTCAGGGAGACAGGATTCCATTGCCAGCTGTGCCACCTACCAGCTCAGTCCAAGAGCCTCAGCTTTCTGAGGGCTTGAGAGAACTGGAATCATAAACAAATGTTTGAAACTCTTAAAATAGAGTTGACATGACAACTGAGGACAGAAATTTTGAAAACGTGCATTTGAAACAATGGGTTTGACACTGGGTCCTCAGGGTTAGAGGTTCAAGGCTCCGGTGGCCGGTGGCAGAGGTTTCTTGTTGCATCTGGTAGCTTCTGGCTTCAGTGAAGGGATGGTGTGGAGTGTCCAGCAGGAGGGGCCCGGCTGGACCCAGTCACTGTGCTAAGGACAAAGGGAGCAGCGGGCAGGGCAGCAAATGTGCAGCGCGTCTGTGAGGCCTGGAAACGTAGATCACAGTTGTGTGTTGCTAGGGACAAATTTAATCCTTGCAAAACGAAAATATGATCGATGTTTCCCCAGCTTATGGACTCTCCTGGGGGAGTCACGGGACTGGCGGTTGGATGCTTCCTCCTGCACAGCACAGGATCTTTTGAGTCACCTTCCAGGGTCCCCTCCCAGATGTGAACTGTGGTAACGTGGCCTGGGGGCCACCAGGACATATTAATAATACTGTCCCAGGAAGTGCTCTCATGTATATGGTTTCATTCATTTCACATTCTTACAACAGCTACGAAGTGGGCGTCAGTCCCACCCCCTTTAAGTGGATAAGACCACGGAGGCTACCTGTCACCTGATGGAAGAGTTTGTAAGTGACAGAGCTGGAGTCCAGGTCTGGCTGACCCCCGGATGCTTGGTCTGCCATTATGTCACCTGGCGCCCACCACATGGAGGACACGGGAGGGGACCCGCTTGTCAGGGAGGGCACTGTGTCCCGTTTGCAATTTTCCTCCAGGCAATAGGCTGCCTGTGGTCTGAGTTTATAAATGATTCTGTTTCCTGCCCACACTGTACTCCAAGAGGGCTTCGGACATAGGTTCTCAGTAAATGTCTTCGGAATGAATGGTGTCTAGACTCAGCTACCTTCGGGATCCCGGATGCAGCGAGGACCCTGGAAGAGCCGCAAGCCCGCACCGTTCAGTGACCGAGATGATGACGGAGAAACTGCCCCTCCCCACTGGCCGTTGTTCCCACCACCAAAGCCCCCGTGGAGCAGCACCACCGGAGCCGCTGTGTGAATCCTAAGTATCGGTGGCAGTTGTCTTACTGCCAGTGAAGATCCAGTAGGTACTTCGAGAGCGAGAGCGGTGCGCAGGTCCCTGGGGAGCCTGCAGCTCCAGAGTCTCACTGAGTGTACCTGCAACGTCCCGCCCGCAGCATGGCCCTGAACGCGCCCTATCAGCGCTGCAAGGTCAGGTCCGCATCAGTCCTTTAGAGCACATAAGTGCCTTCTTGATGAGTGGTCTTGCTCTGAGCAGCTCAGGATTCACAGGCTGTTCCTCTGACCCTACGGGCAGTGTGGGGAGGCCTGGGGAGCAGGCCCCCTGTCCCGCACCTGCGCTCACCTGTCCCCTCTGGCTTCCCCGTGTCTTAGGCCTGAGAAGCCCCACCCTACGGGATCAGCCTCGCTGGAAGTCCTGTGGAAGCCGGATGCATTCAGGGGGCAGGGCTGTGGGTTCTATTTTAGGCAGGATGTCACCGTGTTGAGGAGCCAGTGTGCGTCTAAGCCGGGAGAAGGCTTGGGAGCGAGGTGCGGCACCTGACAGCTGCAGAGCACACAGAGGCTGGGAGGCATTGTGCCCCGAGAAGATTGACACCAGTCTGTGCTCGCCTCGTGGTAATGAGCCGCTTTGCCTGCTTTCCTGGTGGAAAGAAGAAAGGCGAATGCAAACGACTCCCCCAGCCTTTCCCCTGAGTGCAGCCTCGCTCCCAGTACTGTGTTCGACATTACTAAAACATGGTGTCACTGGCGTCTCCTCCCCACCGGCTCCTCTCTCTCGTGAGCCCCAGCATCACTTGCTGAGGGTAGGGCACACTAGTGGCCGAGCCAGAGGGATCTGGAACTGCATGACTGCCAGGACCTTTAATAAGGAGGGTTTGGCTGCCAGGTGGGGGGCGGGGGTGGGCAGCGTTCTGTGAAGCCATGGGTTTCTAGTTTTTGTTCCCCTTGCAGGGGTGCTGGGGCGACCATCTCAGCATGTCAAAAACTTGGCAGTGCATTGTGGGAGTCTTTCCCTAAGTTTATTTATTTTGAAAGAGAGAGAGAGAGAGAGAGAGAGAGAGCACATGAGCAGGGGAGGGGGAGAGAGAGAATCCCAAGCAGGCACCACACTGTCAGCACAGAGCCCTCTGAGGGGCTCCAACCCACTAACCGTGAGATCATGACCTGAGCCGAAATCAAGAGTCAGACGCTTAACCAACTGAGCCACCCAGGCGCCCCGTCGTGGCGAGTTTTCTAATATTCCCCAGTGCACTACCACATGCTGATTTTAACTATCTCCCACTCATGGTGGGTAGAGAGGATCACACACTGTGTTGTCTAAAAATTCCCAGACGTGCCTATTCTGCTTGGGTTGGCTCTGATTCTTCTTGGCGTTTCCACAGATCTCACCCAGATGCCACCTGGGATCCTGACTCCAGAGAGATCTCCATAAGGAAGCCAGAGACGCCTAAGCAGCCATGGTGTGAGGCTTTTGGCCCTTGCCCAAAACTGGCGATTTTACTTGTGGAAATTGTACTTTAAATTAAAGGCCTTTTGCTAGTCAAGGGAAATATCCATATCTGCATGTATTCCAAGTGAATCTGGAAATTAAAACTGATGTTTGGTGTTAGGGGAGCTCTGACTCGAGGGCAAAGAGAGAGAGGATGCTTCTGAGACATGCGAGGCCCTAAGACCAGCCTTTCGAGTTTGAGCTTCTGGCTCCCAGTGCTAAGGATTTCCTGATGGAAGGATGTGTCACTGAGCCAACGAGGCCAGCAGGTTGTGACTCCTGAGCAAGGCATCAGTTGCACAAGAGAACTTCCAGCTCTCCTAGCAGATGCTGAAGACTCTGGTGGAGCAAACTAATGGGTGCAGACCCTTCTCTACCTAGAGTGTGGTGTCATACACCATGGAGGACACCAAGAAGATACAGTTGGGGGCAGAGGAGGAAGCAAGAAGATGGGTACATCACATGCCAAGATTCTAACAATTCGACAGAGAAATGATATGTGCCACAAAGTGGCAGGGACTATCCAATAAGAATCTCTGTATCCAGGGGGCACCTGGGTGGCTCAGTCGGTGAAGCATCTGACTCTTGATTTTGGCTCAGGTCATAATCTCACTGTTCATGAGTTCAAGCCGTGAGTTGGGCTCTGCGCTGACAGCATGGAGCCTGCTTGGGATTCTCTGTTTCCCTCTTTCTCTGTCCCTCCCTGAGCTCTCTCTTTCTCTCTCTCTCAAAATAAATCAATAAAGTAAGAGAAAAAAGAATCTCTTGGGGCACCTGGGTGGCTCAGTCCGTTAAGCGTCTGACTTTGGCTCAGGTCATTGATCTCACGGTTCGTGAGTTCGAGCCCCGAATTGGGCTCTGCGCTGACAGCTCGGGGCCTGGAACCTGCTTCAGATTCTACGTCTCCCTCTGTCTCTCTGCCCCTCCCCTACTCACGCTCTGTCTCCGTCTCTCTCTCTCTCAAAAATAAAAATAAACATAAAAAATATTTAAAAAAAGTATCTATATATCCTTCTGGTGGGTGCTCAAAGAACTATTAGGAATGAATGAGTGATATCAGAGGAAGAACGATGGGAGTGGTCAGGAAGACATGATGGAAGAAATTGGGGGTGGGGCAGAGTCTTGAGGGTTGGGTGGGATTTGGCAAAGTGGAGAACCTACTCCAAACAAGAGACCAGCTGGAGGTGAGAAACATGGGGGATGAGGCATTGACTAGTTTTCAAGCAAGAGGGTTGAAACAGTGGAGCAGGGACAGGTTGCCAGGGAAGGGTCCAATTCCTGGGTCAGGGGCTTCAGTGATGGTTTTTGAAGGGTGGGGAGGAACACAAAGGCGTGGAGAGAATGGACTGAAGTGGCGAGAGACTACGGACCACAGATCAGTTGCTACGCTGCTATCGTAGGTGTCCAAGTGCGACACAAAATGCCCCCATGAATCCTTGACGTGGGGGTGGCTGGATTCGTAGACTTCCACCTCAATTCAAAAAGCGTGGCCTACTTTATGCCTAGGTTGCAACATTAGAAATTTGTGAGTGAAGTTCTTGCCCCATCAATCCCACAGCAAACAGCTCAGGCATCGTTTGCGATGATCCCCGATGTCTTTGCCCCTGCTCTCACAGTAATGACTCATCTCTGATGAATGCTCTAACCAGGCCGAGGCCCTTACTGGTACTGGAATGATAACTTTCAACCTAAAGGAGTTCTGCCCTCTCTGACAGGGGACTTATTTGGTGGTTGCTGCTCATGTCCCCTTGGCTTTCTCCTTAGAGGAGTTGGGAGCATACACCAAAACTGAGAATAAAGCCTGTGTCACAAGACCAC